AGCCGCCAGCCGGTCCCCGCAGCCCGGGTGCCGGCTCGGCCAGTCCCGTCCCGCAGCCGCAGCCGCAGCCATAGCCATGAGCACGCACCGCGTCGCCCTGCAGGGCCCGGGGCCGTGGGGCTTCCGCCTGGTGGGGGGCAAGGACTTCGAGCAGCCGCTCACCGTGTCCCGGGTAGGGGCCGCGAGGGCCGGGGCAGGGAGGGAGGGGAGCCCGCCGCCACCTGCCGCAGCTCAGCCTGTGGCTCGGCTCGTGGCGCCGGTTCGCGTGTCTGGGTCTGTGCCAGGGCCGCGTGTGCGCGAGCCTTGTGCGTGTGAGTCCGCGCGTGTGCATGCAAGCCCTGTGTGTCTGTGTGAGACCCGTTTGTGTGTGTGTGTGCGTGCGAGCATGCCAGAGCCGTGTGTGTAAAGGAGTGCACTGATACATGGCATCTGCTGTGATGGCCTTCCATATTCCTGGCACTGGATCACTTCCCATCCTGAACAAGGTTTGCAGCTCTGAAGAGTTCATCACCTGAAAGAGATTTAATAGAGAAGTGAAGTTATAATGCCCTAGGATGAGTAAGTCCCAGGAGGGATGTGAACTGATTAAAAGTGTGTAGTCATCTATGTTTCAGTGACTTGAATTGCAATATGTGCCCCCCCCCCACTGGGCTATATTGTAAAATACCTTATTTTAGTAGAAGTGGGGCTTTGGGGCACCGTGCTGGTGAGGATAGATGCTTGGCCAGTAGTTTCTGGGAGGTTTAAAAACCTTTGTGTTGGTGTAAGAGACCAAAGGTACATCAAGGGTGATGTAATGCTGAAAGAGACAGGGTCAGAGGTGTGGGCAGGGATTGTGTGATGTAAAACCTTGAAAATGTGGCTCAGTGCCCTGGTTGAACACCTGCCACTAGGCAAAAGCACCTTTTGTTTTATCCTGTTTTTGAAACAAGTTATTTTCGAGTAGTGCTAATTTAAATGGCTAATCTATTGTAATTAAGATAGTGTTAACATAAGGAATTTCCCCCCGCCCCACCACCACTATGTGAATACTTACTGGATTTGGAAATGCTATATTACAGGGCTCCCTCACTGGACTTGCAGAAAGGAGAGAAAAATAATTCTTAGGGAAGAATAGTCAGCCTCTATTTATCTTAATGAGTAGCTGAATCAAAGGCTAAGGATGATGGTTTAATTAGCGACTTTCAGAGCGTGGAAGATTCACCCAAATTTGAAGTCTCAGCCTTCTAGCCAGAAACTGCTGTTGTGGCAGACGGTGGGGAAAGAGGTGATTCTGGGTTTCAGGACTATTGGCAGCATTACACAGTACAGCGGGAAAATGTCGAGCCTGGCCTACATTCATGCAGTCGCCAAGTGAGCTGCACAGGTGGTTGTGTGAAAGTAGGAGGGTTCCCAAAGGATGTTCAGCATAGAGACAGCTATAGGGCTCTGTATATAGGATCATCTGTTGTCTTTATAACTGTAGAGTCTGAGAGCTGCACATACACATTGATGACCTGAGGTACAACTCCCTCTGAGATAGAAAGTGTCTTTTTGGAGGCGGGGAAACTGAGGTACAAAAAGAGCTCAGTCAGGCACTTTCATTCAGCCCATGACACCCCCTAGTGAACTACACCCTGCCCAGCCCCTCTGCCCACGAGGGTGGGAGCCCATGTGTACATACACCCCCAAACATACCCTATTGTGCCTCGCTCTCACCTTCATGGGTAGAAGGGCCCAGCCAGCACGCAGCTTCTGGGCAGAGCTACTGCTGCAGTCCCTGGGGATCTGCTCTGCTTCCCATGCCTCCCGGTTGCTTCAGACAGCCGGTAGGGGAGTGGCAGGGGTGGGGGCCGAGCTGCAGCTGGGCAGCAGCACGGAGCCTGGGGCTGGGGGTGGCAGCAGCATGGACCCTATGCCCAGGGGGGCGGCAGCAGTGCAGAGCTTGGGTGGGCAGTGTGTGGGTGAGGGAGGGTTGGGGGGTGATGGTGGCAGCAGCAGCAGCATGTAAGGGTGCTTGTGCCTGGCGTTGGTGCTGGTGCCCAGCGGGGCGCAGCTCCGGCCAGCACTGCACATTGTGGTAAGGGGTGCAGCCTCTGCCGGGCAGTCTCTATTACTGGTATTCCCCACCACCCATGAACAGCCCCCACACTCACATGGCATGGGAGGGAAGCCCCATGCACTGGAGCTGGCTGCCTTTCCTGCCACCCAGGGGAAGGCACCTGGGGCTTCCCTCCTGTGCTGCTCAACCCCTGCAAGGAAGGCAGCCAGCTCCAACATGTGAGACTTCCCTCTCATGCCATGTGAGTGCGGTGGCTGTGTGTGCATGGCGGGTAGCACTGGTGACAGAGACTGCTCAGCAGAGGCTGCGCCCCTTGCTGTGATGTGCAGTGCTGGCCAGAGCTGCGCCCTGCTGGGCACCAGTGCCTGCACCTGGCATGAGCATCCTGAGTGCCGCTGCCCACTGCTGCTGGGCCATCAGGAGAGTGCGGAGGGGAGTCCCCCCACACTCACATCCCACAAACACCACATACCCACACCCTGCCCCCATAACCCCCCACATATACATAACCCCCCAACATACCCTATGCCCCCAACACACACAGTCACATCTCCTCACAACCCCCCACACCCTTCTACCCTGCCATACACACACGCACACATCCACAACCCACCACACACACACAAACCCACAATATACAAGACTAAGAATTTATTTTTAAGTTATTATGTAAATACCTTTACATACAGTACGCAAACACAAATCACGACAAATATTTTTTGTAATAAAGTATGTTACAGTAGGTGTTCGACTTCTACTGTATGATTTGGTTTTTTTCTGGTTCTAAGATGGCAACTCCCCTCCCAAAAGGAGTATTCCCAGGGGGAAGTGGGGAGAGACTTCTGGTGGCAAAGGTCAGGGGTTTGGGATGGGACTCCCAGTCCGAAGATGATGACCGGGGCGGGGCAACTGTCAAGGGGCGGGGCTACCCATGTGGCCCTTGACAGCTCACCAAAACTGGTTAAGCAGCCCTCCACCTGAAATAATGTCTCAGACCCTACAGTTATAAAGACAACAGATGATCCTATATACAGCATCTACAACCTATAGCTACAGTCCTAGCCTCAGCATTGCACTGGAAGCCGGTAGCAGAGCCAGGAACTGAATCCAGATCCCCCATTGAGAACCTTCAGTTCTTTTCATTTCTCTCTGCTCACTGTGGGATGTTTCAGTCAAGTGTTTAACAAGGATTTCATTACCCACAAAGTAATAGCTGTAGAAGTCAAGTTTGTGTGATAGCCTCTCAGGTGGCTGGATTGCTGCTGAGCTCAAAACTATTTTCAATAATGGAGATCAATTTAATGTTACTCTTAATTGAAAAATCTCACTGGCTGATAGAAATCATAACTGACTCTGACCTGTGACTACATTGTGTCACTATTTTAGCTTTCATGTGCCAATTCCTTTTTAAGGCCAGTAATAAAACCCTCATAAAAGATCAGAAGAATCGATTTTTGTGAAGGTTACTATATATGTTTGGTTTTACAGGCTATTCTTAGAGGATTTTTTGAGTAACTTCTTTACATTAATGTGATGCTTAATTCTCATATTTTGCTTTCATTGTTAGTTAAAACCCTCCCCTTGTGTTTACAGATCCTTTTGTAAAGTTCTGTTGGCTGCCTTTCCACGTCTCCATCATATCCCTGTCTTTTAGGAGGAAAAGAAAGCAAGCTAGGAAGTAGGTTAGAGGGCAGTTACAAGGGGAGACGTTGCAACAAAATAATTTCATTTGCTGTCCCCAAATGAAGTCACAGTGGGTAAAGTGAAGTCTGGAGTATTTTGCAAGGTGCTGATTTGTTCTCATTAGCATTACCCACAGGATTCATAAGTCTGGCATTGTGAGTATTGTTTATCTATGACGGGGGAAGCCAAGTTGTGGCATGGGCAGCCTCTGTGTGTGACATGAAGCCGTAAGTGGAGGGAGAAAATCTTAAAAGACACACAGACACAGGCAGACACACACACACACAGACACTGCCCAGGAGGTAAGTGTGTAGGGGGGAATGGGCACAAGGGAGGGAAGGGGCATGGGGGCAGATAGATCCCTGCCCCATGGTGAGGGAGTGGGGCAGGTGCAGGGGCAAAGGCAGGGGCTGGGTTGAATGGGGTGGGTCATGGGAGAGTCGGAGGCCGGGCAGCTCATCCAGGGGTGTGGGGTCTCCTGCTACTGTGCACACCCCTGGGGCAGGCCTGAGGCGCACATGTTCCCTGGATCTGTGTGCGGGGCAGAGGGGGGCTGCAGCAGCCGGCTGGGGCTCTGCGCCCTGCTGCTGGTGCCCTGGCAGCTGCACAATGCCACATGCCTCCCATTGCTGGGCGGGCAGGGTCCTCAGTGCACCCAGCATGTGGCAGGCATGTGGAGTTGCATAGCTGCTGGGGTACTGGCAGCAGGGCACAGAGTCCCAATCCACAGCAGCAGCCTGCCTCTGCCCTGTGCACAGATCTGGGAGGTGCACGTGCCCCCCATGTCTGCCCCAGAGGTGCACACAGTGGCATGAGCTCCTGCACCCTTGGATGAGCTGCCTGGGCTCTGACCCTCCCATGACCCACCCTGGGGTCCCATTCACCCCTGCCTCTGCCCCACCCCCTTCCTCACCATGGGGGCCTTGATCTGCCCCCCCACACCCCTTCCCTCCCTCCCCGCTTCCCCCCTGCACACTTACCTGCTGTTTAGGGTTACCATATTTCCAGGATCAAAAAAGGACACCTGTGGGGGAGGGGACGGGGAGCCAGTAGGGGAGACAGGGAGGGGTATATGATTGTAGGGATGGCAGTGATATGCCTGTGCCCTGCCTCTGCCCCTGCACTTCTAAGCCCCTGCACCTCACTCCTAAGCTCCAGCACTGCCGGTGACCCTCACTCCCGACCCACAGCCCCTAATGCTAACTGCCCAGTCGTGGGATGAATCCCAC